TGTGAGCTGCTTGAATAAAATCTTGTATGTGTGTATGGCATTAGCTACAAGCTACGTGTGCCATGCTGAGTCGTGTTCTTGAAGGTCAGAAGGAAAAAATGGTATAGATGCACTGCTTCAAAGAGTGTGAGGTGGTCGTTAATTAGCCCTCTGTCTCATCCTTGGAGTTGTTCTTGGTGCATTAATGTTAATAAGCTTATGGGGAGACTCAACTCCCCTGATTTTTGCTTCACGTATAATGGAAAAAAAGGTGCTTTCAGACTGTATGAAATTTCTACCAACTTGTTTAAATGTAAGCGGCATGGATGTAGAATCATTAAGGTTGGAAAAGTCCACTTAGATCCTGTAGTCCAACTGTCAGCCATCACCACTGCGTCCACTAACACGTGTCTCTGCTTCAATAGCACTGTCTGTAATAGGTGATGATTTTGCTATTCGTCTTCTTGCTGATGGTTGTTAAAGCTGTTATCAGATGATGGCTGTGGAAATGATGGTGGCAGAGGCTTGAGATGCTCCCACTGCTGCAAAATGTTGTAGCTATGACTGCAGTACAAATTTTAAGTGCTGTCAGCAGCAGATTTAAAATCAGCCAGCTGACTTGGACTGCCTTTCTCCCGTTTGGACAGCTTGTTCCACAGCTGTGGGGTAGCTTCTGCAATGGCCCCAGTGCTTGAACCCCGTGCCCTGTGAAGTGCCAGTAATGGCTTAACTGACGTTACAGCAAATAGCTGCTGTAACGCTCAGCATGGCTCTGGCAGTCAGTTGTATTTAAGGCCAAGTCAAGAAAGGAGACCTTTAAAAGTCCATCTGGAATCTTACTTGGTTCTCAGTGGTGCCAGGTGAGCTGGCTGCCCATAGCCTGGGGCTGTGGACTCTGCTACTGTGGCAAAAAAAAAAAAAAAAAAAAAAAGGAAAAATATAGGGCTTATAGCAAGAGACTTGGGATTCTTCTCTTGCAGCATGGTCAAGGTGTTCTCACGCTATATATATACATACATATATTTCATTATGTGAATGCTTTAGGGATTCTTGTCGTGTACAGGATAGAGGATGTGTTTGCTTAGTCTCCATCAGACCCATCTTGAGCCCAGGTACTTTAGCACATAAGAGAGGTACATGAATTGTACTTTCTATGAGGAGCAAACGCTGATCTAGCTTATCTCTCCATTGTTATCTCAACCATCACTACGAGCAAACTCTGCTTTTTCTTCTTGTTTTCAAGGACCAAATGAAAAGACACTGATTAGGGACGCTTGTCTGCCGTAACAGGTGTGCCCAGTTCTTTTTGTGCCCACTATTAGGGGAAGAACTTTGGTTACACAGTTACATAATCTTTATGTCGTGTTAGAAAAGGATTGCAATTGTATTTAGTGAGGTCAAGCCGGGTAACTAGATGAAATTTGAAACAGAGCAAAGTAGACATGAATTCTGGGGAAGCTGGGTAAAGCAAGTAGGATCCGATAGAAGGAAGAGGGTCATAACTCCAAAATTGTTGGCGTTTATCAGGTGCTTTCCAGTCAGGGGTGAGACTGTGAAATGCCAGCTGTCAGGCTGTAAATCCATTGCTATGAAACCTTGACTTGGTAACTGCTTTTCATTCCTGCACTGAGGAAGAGGGACTCCTTCGTGGCCTGGGGGCAAGGCAGGGAGATAGCTGCTGATGCAGCTGTGTAGCAAGGCCTTGGCCACTGCACAGCTGAGGCTGCTGCTGAAGGCACAAAAGAATGGTGACATGGAGGCCAAGTAGAGATGGGATGCAGATTTTTGAGGTGGAGTGAATAGGTGTTTTGCACATACCTGCTTGTAACTTCTTGTTGCTGGTGGAAGGAATTTGGGCATGATGACTTGTTAAATGATTTCTTGCTATTTAGTTACTACTCTGTTTAACACTATCCTTAAGATCGTTGAAGGTGGAATGGGAAGAGAAAAATTCCCTTTATAGAACTCAGAACTTGTTAGGCGGTGCCCTAACTTGGTGTTTGCTTGATTTAGCCTTTTTAAGGTGGATGTGAGGCACAGGAGCCTTTTTCAAGTCAAAACAGATGACTGAATGTGCTGGTGGAGTAAAGCACATAAAGCACAGTTTCTGAGCTGGGGCTGATGTACTTTAATACTGCTTACTAGGAGGTGTCACAGGCAAGTCCTAAGCTTCAGTGTCGTATGAAGTAAAAAGGAGGAGATCTGTGCACAGCTGAAGAAGAAATACAGTAAGTCTTCTATTGGCTGTTTCAACTGCTATGAACAGTAATGTTGAAATTACCAGCAGAGCGCCCAGCTGTTGTGTTATCATTTGTGGCTCATCTTGGGAGGAGGCTTCCAAGTAGGGTGAGCTAAAGTCACGCTGCTTGACCTGCCTCTGCTATTGACAAGGTGTGGGGCTCCACATGAAGTGTGTTACCAGCTGTGCTACATGCTGGTGTTATCCGAAGATGGGTGATGTTTGACTCTGGAATTCCCCCTCCCCCTGCTATTACAGCACATTGCTCTGTCAGATGGTAAAGATGCCACACTTTAGACAGTCAGCTAATGATTTGTTTAATGGTGCAGTTAAGCACCAGTGAAATCAATTTAGTGACAGAGTTAAAATTATCTCCTAGTTACATAGGGAAATGAAGTCTCATCTCGGTGGGGAGAAGAAGGGAATAGGGTAAGATTGCATTCAAATGCAATTCTGGAAAGTGTGGGGCACGCAGAGAGGTCTGTCACCCCACTAAGGGGTAAGCCTGACACTTGGGTTAGTTATCTCTGGCTGCATTGACATGAGCATTTAAAGTCTCTAGCTGAGTTGAAAATGGGTGGGAGAGCTTACTGCAATTGGTTTCAGGCTATGCAGGCTTTATTTCCATTGTTTAACTTCCTAACTTAGTCTAGACAAACTCCATGGGTGCTTGTTTTCCTTGCCTGGAAATATGCTCACATCCCGTAGGTGTTGAATCTTGTGTGCAGGCTTTCTAACTGAGGGGATGAGCTGCAATTTTGCATCACCTCCCTGCAGATCTCCCAGCACCCCATAGAGTGCAAAGCAGCTTTCTGCAGGGCAGACTGGGCAGCACAGAGCTGGCTGTAAAATGCCTGTCCACGGTGACTCCTGCAGCTGAGACCGCCCAGTGGTATGCAGTGAGAGAACTGGCACCGTTCATCTGTGGCAGGGGTGGCTGGAGGAATTCACCACGGAGTGAGGTTTGGTTGGTCCTGCGTGCTTATCGCTTTGAGACAGCAGGAATGGAAGTTTAGGTCTTCGCTGTGATTTCTGGGGAGATGTGGAGGATTATAACATCGCAGGAGCTGCCTGCATCCAGAGAAAATAAATACAGGTGCAGTGCTTCAGTAGTAGGAATAATTTATGTTGGATGTTTTCCTTGAGATCTTGCTGTTTTAATGAAAGCAAATACTTATTCTTCCATTATTCCTTCTTCAAGACTTTGTCTGGAAGGCCGAGGATCCCAAAATAAGTTTCAAATTGGGTGGGTTTGAGAATGAGAAATGTGTGGGGAAAAGCTCCCTCTCATCCAAGCCCCCTCAGCCTCAGATATTTTCATGCAGCCTGCTGACAGGTTTTCTCACCTGCCTCCCCCCCCCAAAAAAAAAGGGGTTGAGTTCAGTGATCTCAAGTAACCCGTGTGCATGTCATTGCGTGAAGGTGTAGGCAAGCCTTGATCGTCCACAGTTACCTTGTCACACTCATTGAGTTGAATGCCTTAAATTTAAATGCATCTTCTGGTCCACGTTATTATGTCAAACTTGCTTCTGTATTGTTAAATATACTGTATACATCAACAACATACCCACCTACTGTTGAAAATTAGAATGGGTCTCATAAACAGTCCCAAACAAATGCTCTCAGGCTATGTTGTAGGCTATAAAATTGTTCCTGTATCTCCTTATGATTCAAAGGTTGATACATCGTGCATTGTAAAGCGTGTGGTGATAGCAGCCTGCTGGTGTAAGCAGAAGCTTGTGGTGGTTTAAACTGGAGATGGTCTCAATCTGAATGGTGTGGCCAACCAGTGCTGTCCTGGCCTTCCCTTAGCAGCTCCAGCTGCAAAAATATGACTTAGATGCTGCATGCTAGAACCTGTCAACACCACAAAAACTGAACAGATAAACTGGAATTGATTCTGTTGCTTTTGTCTTTAGGAACGTTGGAATGAATCTTCATCACTTTCTAATATGGGAAGAAAATGCCTTTGAAGGGAGCGTTGTGGTGGTGAGCTTGTCTCCTACCAATCTGTGTATGCTTCCGCAGGCTATAGTAAAGCTTTTGCAATTGCAGCTTGATCTTCATTCTGTCCCACACAGTTTTCCAATTTGATAATCGTGTCCTTGAATTACAGGAGTGCAATGTGGAAGTGACACTTTTGCCCTTTTAAGTTGGGTAACTTCAAAGCACTTCTAAAGCAAGTTGCGCCCACTATGGGAGGAGAGAGCAAGGTAGAAAGGCTTGCTTGCTCTGTGCTCACAATTGGAACAGCACAAGGCTATTCCAAATGTCAGCACAGTAGTCGTGCTCCTATGTAGGCAAACAGTTTCTTCTCTAGTCATCCATGCAGAATGCACTTTGAGTGGATTTGCTGTATTTTAATATTCTGGAAAATTACCCCTTGTGATTGCTGCGGTGTTCTGCTGCACCATGTATGCATTGCAGCAAGGCTGCAACCTGTCTGCCTTTTGCTTTGCTGCTCACTTACCATGGTGCTGCTTTTCAGGCTGTGCCTGGTGAACACATTTGCTTTCCCATCGTTACTATTGTCCCTCAAAAATTAATGATCTTTGTTAGATAATCTGTACTTGTTGTAAGTGTTACTGCTTCCTGTGTCTAAAATAGTGGTGCCTTACTGACTTTTTTTGTATCTAGAGCTATTATAGCATTACCTAGTTTCATGTGGACAGCCATTTATGCTGCTTACAGCCAGCTATTTTAGTACTTCTCTATTAATGGTTTTTCAATGGCTAATGCATTTGCACTGCTGTGCTGGAAGCTGAGACTTTGTGAGCTATCTGAATCAGAGTGCTATCAAGGGACTTGGGCTTGGCAAACAAACTGCCAGTAAAGTCTGCTTGACTGGGAGTGTCAGGACCTGGTGGTGGCTGCACTCCTAACTAGGAATGCCTTACTGCCTTCTATTTTAAGTAATAAGCTTTGTCTTTGTTTAAAAACAACAACAACAAAAAAAAGGAAACAGAAAACAAGCAATGTGAAAAGAGGAATCTGCTTTCTGTCCCTCAAGAGTTTTTTGGGACATGCAAGCTTTTAGCAGAGGCAGTTGGAAATGATCATAATTAGCAGTTGTGATGGCCAATTGTGATTTACTTGCAAGTTATTTTGACCCAATTCACCCATCAGCTAAATGAAATGAGCAGGCAGGGATAAAGGAAACTACCTGTAATAGAACCCTAAACCTGAATCATTTTCCCTTTTCTTTCTGGATCTTCTAAGCTTGTTATTATCTATTTGGAGGATGGCTGCAAGCTATGTCTTGGAGTGAGAACAGGATTGCAGAACTGTGAATGAGGAGATGTCACAAGAAGGGTACTGCTTGGAAGGCAAGGCGGTCCTACCGGCTGTGGAAGCTTGTTAGCTCTCTCCATCATCTGCTTGCTTCGTACAAATGAAAGATAATTACAGGAAGATTCATGTGGCAACTCTGGCCTGCTTTCAGATAACAGCATCTTAAAGTGGAAAGCAGCCTTAGACTATGGGGCTCTTGAGCTTTTTTCAGTAGGAAATGACCTAAGCTGGCTGTTCTGTTCTCGTGGATGCCTTGGTCACCTTTTGGTGTGTTAGCTCTGCTGCTGCATGAAGGGCCTTTAATGTGGGTGATGTGACTGAGTAGAAGTGCTGCTTGCCCATCAGAGCTGTGGCTCTCTGCAGTAACTTGCAAGGCTTGTGTGGTTGGAGGGTTTTCAGCTCATGGCCTGTCACCTCAGCAAGTGCTAAGATCAATTTCAAGCACCCTGTCATAAAGTGTGTGCAGCAGGCCTTTAGCCAATGCATGCAATTTGCAGCTTCCAGCCTCCTAAACTCTTCTTGTAGAGGGTAAGAAATTGTGGTTGAAGGAACGCTAATAATTAGCACTGGGTCAGAGGAAAAGTACTGCTTCTCAGCTCTACTAGCTTCAGTGCAGAAGCTGTAAAGTTCCTGGGAGTACAGTACAATCTCATTCTGTGCTGACTGGTCAGTCTCGGTGCCTGTCCCTCCCTGGCTTTTCCAGGTTTGTTTTTGGTTTTTTTTTTCTCTGTTTCATGTGTGTATTTAATTTTCCTGAGGAGGATGATTGAATTTTCATTAACTAGCTGAACCTGTCAAAGAAAATACAAACTCTAAAGGTGTCGCTGACAGTTTGTGTAATTCAGAGTCAAGTGGTAAATTGCCTCCTTCTAAACCACTGAATACCTATCAAAATATATTAAAGCACTTGAAGCAGTTTGGATAAGCTTTAAGGTGGTGACCCAGCCAAACATTTCCATTGCTTTTTCTTCCACTCCCACTTCTCCCCAGGATAATCTCTTTCCCCAGGGCTGTTAATTCTTCAATGGTCTCCATTTTTCTAGCTCTTTGTTTCCAAGGCATCTCAAACTCTTAATATGAATTAAGCCTCAGCATTCATAGTGGGAAGAAGTGTGAACTGCAAATTCTTCATAGCATGTATGCTGGATACGTGGCTTGCAGGGTGTAGTTTGGCAAGGAGCTGGCTGTTTGGGACTGACTGCTATGAACTGATTTACGTTGTGTGAAGTTTCTTTGTCTTTGAACAAAACTGCAGTGGTTTCTTTTTTAGAGAGATGAACGCTATCAATGTTAGATTCTGAATGTTTAAAAAACAGACATGCTTGAGCTGAAACAATCGGAGAAAAATCCGCTAACATCTTACTAAGCTCCTTGTAGCCTGAATGACGTGCAATGAGTAGAAACCAGTATTTTTAAACTGAAAGACAAAACCATGTATTTGGGAACCCCTTTCATAATGCTCTCCTGTAATCCTGGTTTATTGTGGATGGCTTGACCACTGAAAATCCATGGGAAGAGTTTTTGGTGTACTTTTCTTTGGGATTCTTGTAACTAGTGATTTAACGCAGACATGCAGACTTGATCATTGTGTAATCAAGGTGTGTTCGTGCGTAGCATGTGTCTATAAACTTCAGCTCGTTTCCCCGAGACAGTGGGGGAGGTTCAGGAAGTGCCAGAATTAATTAGCACTGATGAGGACCTGGCTGTTGTTTTTGTACTTGTTTTCCTGAAACTAGTTTAGCTGTTGGGGCCTCCTTTGCTCTTTGAGGCTATTAAGTATAATTATGTTGTTCAGTTTTGTAGTACAGTAATTCCATGCAGGAGATGTTGAAATGAATAGCTTTAAGCTAGCTATTGGGAGATGCTGTTAGAATAATTAATTTCCTCAAAAATCAATTAAATCCTTTTGATCTCCAAGTCTACTCCTTATCTTCCTGGAAATGGCTGATGGTGAAGTGGCTGCTGCAGGCACTGCAGTCCCTCAGGCCCATTCTCTGCCCAGGTCAGGTTTTGGGGGGCAGTGTTGCAGTTATTGGAAGCTCACCTTCTCCAGAGGAGCAGGTCCAAAGCAGCTTCTCCCTGCACTCACTGGTCAGGCTCATTGCTGTTGAGAAAGCTGTAGAAATAGAGCTAATGAGCCTTCTTGAAGCCATACCTAAAATGAGGTTAGATAGGGTTATGTATGCCTGTTCCTTGTGTGGTATGGATGGGGTAAATCCCACCTTTATTTCTCTTCCTCTTGAAGAGGGGATGGCTGAACTTCTAGAATTCCGAGTGAGAAGCCTCCGGAGCTGAATCTAACATACTGGATCATGTCAGATTCAAAATGAGCATGTGCTTTTACTGCCCTTGATTCATACACTGAAAATGTGCTCCTGCAAGATTTTCACTTGCTTAATTTGTGCTTAGCTGCCTTTTCTAGGCAGGCACAGTGTCTAGTGGAAAGATGTCAAGCGTCCACTCTTCATCAAATGAAAGAATTTTCCAGGGCCTTGTGATGAGATTAGCAAAAGGGCTGATTTTTACTGATGGCACCTGGTAGTACCTGGAAGTGATGTGAATCTGAATGTAGGAAGCAAAGAAGCATTTCAAGCCGGGTGCCCTAAGGTTTGGTATGTTTCACAGAATAAACCTGGCCAATACTAATTGGCATCGGGTATTTGTAACCACTTACTGAAGCCATGGGTTTTGTCTTAGGACCTGCACCTCTGAACATGAGAATATCTGAAATATATTGCCCAGAAGTGCCAGATAAGTTTTGGCTTCCCCTACCTGAGTGCCTCATGAGGGATCCAGTCCTAAAGCCAACTGGGTGCCTGAGCTCCTCTGGGAGGCAGGAGGTTTGTCTTTCGCACTCGGACTGACCTGATGTCACTTGGGTGCAAAGGAGCTGCCTCATGCTGCCTGAGGCTCTCCTCAGCCACAGCTACTTGAATTTCTCTGCCAGTTTGTTTTGTGAACTGAAGCCATGAAAGGTTAGTGGAGTTCCTTCTTTCCTGCAGGAAAATGAGCAGGGAATGGATGCTGTGAGACTCCTCCAGCACTGCGATGCAGAGGACTGCTGAGGCCTGCAGAATGCTGTACCTTTGTTTCAGAGTTTGTGCCTCTCTGAAGCTGTACTGATGCTGGTGCTGGCCTGGAAGTCTGTAGGAGCCTGCTGTTTCTTCTTAAGAGCTGAAAGCAGGGATCCCTCATCCTTGAGTTGATTTCCCTGGAAAACCAGTGCAAGTTTGCTCCTCCTAAGTGTGCACTGAGACAGAGAGAATTCCCTTGCACTTGTGGGAATTCTACTTCATAACTCAGTTTATTGTTTCACTCCTGATCCTGTAAATGCCAGGATATGCCAGTAGGCGTTTCCTCACCAGGAAGCTCATCCTGCCTTTATGCAGAATGACAGCAAGGTGGGAGAAGAGGGGAAGGAGCTTATCTGCAAGTTGGCTCATATGCAGGGAATTGTCACATGTGGTTAGGTAAGAACTGGAGACAAAAACAAACAACAGTGAACTGCTGTGCAAAAATCAATCTGATCCCATCTGTCTGCTTATACCGTTCTCAGAAGTCAGTGGCTGAAGAAGGCAGTCATGCAGCAGAAGAAAACCAAAATTAGTGGCATCAAAGCTAAACAAATTGATAAACTAGTTTCTTAAACTAACTGTGGAAGTCCCTTTAATTTGAGAAGAGTTAACGGAACAGCATTT